ACGAGTGATGGAATATGGGAATACACCCAAGTTGGCTACTTGGGATCTCACCTACCAAAAAAAGGGCTGATCAAGTCCCGCTTCTGTTGATGGGTTCAACTCCCATGACCCATAGGCCCATAGGAATATCCCATGTTTTATCAACTTGTGATGGTAAAATCAGTTACTCTTTGGGTAAACATCTGCTATTGAAAATGGCCGGCCATAGACAGTTCGTTGATTTACCCATTCATAGCATGATGATTTTCCATGGTTATGTAACAGTTTACCAGAGGGTATTTTACAGTAATCTTATGAATTTACCTAAACTTTCTATTGGATTTGATCCAGTAGTCAAGCTCGTGATCTGATTTAAGCTGTTAGTTTTAACTGTTTCAACCAGGGGGTATCCTCCAACTCCGGAGCCATTTGTCCCACGTTAACGGAACCTGAGGTTCCGCCACCAGGTGCGTGGACACCCCCCCGGCCGCCTTGGGGGTTGGGTAATCAACATGGCTAAAACATTCGGAAATTTAATATGGTGGCTTAAAAAAACAGATAAGTGTGTGATCATCCATAAGTGTATGTATATGGTGGGTGATACACTTTAAGAGTTAAGTTACCATATAGGTATGGGTCAATACCTATAGATACATTTTTAGTGGGATGAACATCCATTTACCAGCTATTTTGGGGTTCACTAGATACCAGGGTTTTGACCCATCCCCATATAAGTATAATGATCATCCTTAAGTATGCGTCCTTAAAGAAAGGATTCCATTAATATGATGATCCCGCGAAGGTCTCCTGTCCCAAAGTATCTTACATCCGAGGTATCCTTATGATATATAATATACACATTCATGAGGCAAACCCGGTAGTAAATCATCCCAGTAAGGAAGGTATATAACCAATAAACCTCAATTTGGGATGGTTCACTATTGAGTTTACCTCATTGCCATCAGCGCAGGGAATTTTATCTATAGGTTACCAGTCATTTTTTTCTCCGAATTTGACTGAGGCTCGTAGGCTAGTTGCCTTCTTGCGGGTGCAGTTAAAGGTATAACCATCGCTATAAACCCAAATAAGTTGGAAACAAATACCTATAGCCTAAAACTATATGGTTATATATTTACTTATACCTGGAACTGCAGACCGACCAACACTTTCCCCAGTCACCTCATTCCAAAAAATCACCCAGTGATAGAGATTCCAATTAGTTCTGGGCTGGTGCATCATCCATAGCTCACTGGGTTGTGGTTTTTAAGAAGAACCTTTACATATTATATACGAGAGGCAGTTTATTCTCCCATCCAAATATAGGTAGAAAATCTCTCTTATCATATTCTTCCCTTGCAAGCCCGCTTCTCCATAAATCCGGGGTGTCTTTGTTGTTTGGCTCCAAGCTGTTTTTGCGTTTGAAGCTATGGAGCTCTACCTCCCTCGCGCCCCAGCCGCGGTGGCCCCAGGGGCCCCAGCTGCCAGCGCCTCTGCCCCAAGCCGCCCCCGTGGATCAACGTGGCGACCGGCGACGCTGGCCCCAGCAGTACTGGCCGCGGCCACGGCGTTGGCGCGCGCCCGTGCGCCGCGGCGGCAGGGTGCATGCAGGGCGGAGGCCAAGAAGAGCTTGGGAACCAGGACCTTCTCAGGATTTACATGGATTTACCCTGCCAAAATATGACAAAATGGGGATCCAACCACAACGGAGAGTTCACATGAGTCAACGGTCAAAACAATTCCTAAACCAGTTCAGTACTTTTTTGCTGGAAACCCGCTGGCTTGGTTGGTGAACCGGTCGGGCGTGGCTGCTCTGGTTTGAGCAATGACCAAAAAGATGCGGTGTGTTTTCAACGATGGTGACATCGAAACAGGTGTGGCCACTAGGAGTGATCTATGCCTATGCCCAACCGATTCTGGATCGAAGCAATTATGGCCAGAGAAAAGAAACAAACGCTTATTGATAGATGATCTACAATATACTTATTTGACATGGAGACTGTCACCAGGTCAAAGTGTATACCAAAGGGTATCCCTAAAATGTAGTTAATTGTATAAAGCCAGGTAGTTGGTCACATATATTTGATTGTATTGTGTCCTCAACTTTGTTTAGTTTGTGAACATCCACCAGCCTTAGATCCCGTGTTTTGATATTTTGTGGTGGAAAGAACGCCCAATTCTGTTCTTGCTGGATGCAGGGAATTTCTTAAGTGAAACTACGCAACTATCTACACATTATGGATACATTATGGATAGAGCCTTTGTATGACTAGCCCAGGTTTGGTGAATATAACCAACTAGCCGCTAACTAGCCATTGTGACACTTGGTGAAGCCGGTGAACGAACACAAAATTCCCCAATAGGGTGCCCCTAAATAATCATTGGTTCATTTTCCTCATTAAAGATGTTACTGTTGAGGTTAGATCAGCCATTTTCACATGGAAAAACAACTCATTTTCCCCATGAAATAGCCATAGACTGTATATCGTTGGTGGTTACCCTCTGGTAAACTAACACAACTATGGAAAATCATCATTTTTAATGGTAAATCAACTATTTCTATGGCCATTTCAGTAGCTATGTTGGTTTACCAGAGGGTAAATTCCCCATTTTCTCCGTGACGACCGTCGCCAGGACCACTCCAGACCCCACGGACTTGCTACTGCGCGTGGCGAAGGGTGAAGTAGGAGATCACACGCCCGTGTGGCTCATGCGACAAGCTGGGCGCTACATGACGCTGGGCCGTGGACAGGGACTGATTTACCCTCTGGTTATTTAACATAGCCATAGAAAATGGCCCATAGAAATAGATGGTTTACCTGGGTTTACCTATTAAAAATGGTGAGTTTCCATGGCTATGTTAGTCATAACCAGAGGGTATCTTTTGTTACCTCCAGAAATGTCCGTGGTCAGTTCACCGCTGAGAAATTGATGGTTGACATTAGGTAGAACACAAGCAACATTGCTATAGCCATCTGTAGCTGCCATCTAATGTAGTGCAAAACAGATGGATGCCTAAGACTTACCCATCAATTAAATGATAAAATGTTGCTAGTCAACCTAGGCGGCTATTGCAATATGTGTTATAACTTAACTGTTATTGTAATATATTTAATGTATGGACGGTTCCAAAAGCCGGTTGGAACCCTATGATTATCATGGTGGTTTAGCACCAATGGATAATGACAATTTTAACATGGAACCCCTGAAACATTGCGATTTATTCAAGTGCGGAAAATCGTCTTCGAAACCCACTTAAAAGGGATAAGGGGGGTTCCATGTTAAACTTGTGATGATTGATACTGAATAGGTTTTCTGGGAATTGTTGAAATATATCAGAATTCATCATAGGAGTCATGGCACCACTAGGGGTCAAATGGTCAAGGTGGTGACATTTTGGTAAATGGTTGGGTCATACGCTGTAGATGACTTAAGTGCTTCCAGGATGCTGTAGGTGATGGTGTTTTAACATTGACGGAGTTTCTAAAAATGAGTATTGTTCAAAGATAAGGATTTCAGACGATGTAAGAAGCATTGGGGGATTCAACCAAAATAATATATATATAGGTTTCAATCAACAAAGAATGACTGAGTGGTTGATGTTTCTTATATTTGACATATCATTCTATCGGCAAAAAATGCTTATAAAAGCAATGAAATTGAACAAAGTATGAAACCATTGGTTAGATGTTCAACTGAGAATTGCCGGAATGCTTGATGGTTAATGATGCTGTCAGGTTGTGGAGATTTGTTTTTTACCCAACACTATGTATAGACCATGCTGATTATGGACAATTGGATTGTTGCAAAAAAAACCTGAAGTTTGACTGGTGTAAGCACAAGCAACCAATGGTGGGCATGTTGCACCTGTTTTTCCCTGTAAACATCCGGTGCCAAAGATGGTCTGATACTTGGGGGCCTGATATTTTGCTAAACGTACGGAGAAGGTGGTGTGAAAATGGGAAATCATCTGCAGCATTGCGGACACTTGTAGAAGTGCCAGTTTTTTCTTCGCAGCACTGCAGTGATGTTGGTGGGCCTCTTGGTTTGGCTTTGCAGACGAAGTTTGCCAAAGGCATTGGCAGCTTCTACCCCTCGAAAATGCTGGGTAGCTTTTGCAGGCATAGTGCAAACCCATCGCCACCTGCAGAATGAGAAAGCTTGGATCACTCTCTGCTTAAGAACTTCCATAGTTCAAAAGGAAGCCGGCATGTCGCAAGTGTTCAAATTCCTTTTGAAAATGATATTTCAGTCTGGTCAAACTGATTCTGGACATGGGGCTCTTGCTGCAAGGGCCTGATGGCTGTGCTGCTTGGTATGAAAGAATGCGATTTAGGATGACTTTGGCATTCATGGTGCAAGATGGTGCTGCTCACAAGCAATGTTGGTCGTTAAAAGGAGGTGCTGGCTCTTGCTTTTGTGGCCTTTGCAAACATGTGCTTAGAGTCATGCTACCCTAAGTTCCCAAATGAAAGAAGAAGTGTCAGGCAAGTTGCTAGTGTTGTGATGAGTTGCATACATGTGGGTTGATGGTATGCGTGTACGAAACCTGCCCCTGGTGTATACATATTTGTACATGCCAGGGTGATTGCACATCTAAATATAGTTTAAACACATTTTAAACACATATAATATCCATAAACCATAGTTAATCTATGTTTATCTATACGGTAACGACACTTAAATATGTGGAGGGCGGGCCAGACCGCGAGGCCCCGGAGGTAGTATGAAATACCAGTTCGTATATTTAAATGTAGATACCGTATGTTTAAATGAATTGGATTCCGTATGTTTAAATGGCCGGGCGGGCCAAGTATAACGTTCCCGGAGGTAGTCTAAAATATATGTTCGTATATTTAAAAGTCCGAATTTTAAAATGTTGTTACCGTAGTTATAAGCCGGCCTAGCTATGGGGCGCCACCCTGAGTCGGATTTGTGCCATTGCTCTGGAGCCTCTGCAGATGAGTTGTACCTGCTGGAAATTATAACGACCTCACTGCGACCTCACTAGAATCATGGTTAGTAAGGGGAATCATCCCAAAATGGCCGCAAGGTTCAGGGTTAGTGAAATATTATAATTTACCCAGATATATGATATAGAATCCCTTAATCAACTAGGGGAATCACTTAATCAACTAGTATAGATGTATATTATTTAGATATTATTAGGTTATGATAGGAATCACTTAATCAACCAGACAGTATAGACAGGGATATGATTCTCCCTATTCAGAATGGGAACATGTCCTATATAATTGGATTACGTTTTTGCCTGTGAGTCAGGTATTCAGAACCATTGAGCCATCTTGTCACATGTTGTAGCATGTTATAAGATGTTGAAATCCAATTAGGTATAGGTGTTTGCATATGTGTAAGATATCCTTGCTTACACCGGTGATTCATATTATGGTTATGGACGACACTGAGACGACCTGACGTGACCTCGGACATTCCAAGGAGAGAATTCAGAGCTTACTCCGATGCTTGGCTTGCCATAGGCTGTGGAGCTCCACATGGAACTGGATATGTTGCACTATGTTACTATGTATATACTGGGTAAGCAATGAAGATTTTGACTGGGTATAATCTAAACAATACTGCTACATTTCCTGTTATAATATGCTCCCGTTGCTTTTTGACATATATTCAATGAGTGAATGGGTACATATATATATATACACACTGGATACATATATCTATATATATATATAATGGATACATAATCGAGATATCATGGAGCACTATGATATTCAACCAGCAATATTGTCATTAGATTTGTCCAGAATTAGGGCTACCCCAATTTGTTTTCATCGAAGAATGGCCAACATGATGACCAACCATCAAAATCTGTGCTATTTGACCAACACTTCAGAGGACATCAAAAAACATGATATACTGTGGATGGAAGAAATCCTGCACCACCTTGGATGGCTAAACCCCTTTACCTAATGGGATAAACCACCTATCAACTGGTGGAGGATTTCTTCCATCCACAGGGCAACGTTGCCCTGAACACTTTGAGCTGACTAAAAAATCACATTTAAACCTAAGTTTCCAGGAATTATAATCGCATTTATAACTCTTGAGGATTCTTAAGGACTCTTAAGGGCCATTGTGGGTCTGTTGGACTCAAATTCTCACCATCGTCTTTTGTTGCCCAGGCCTGGGGTATAAGGAGCTTCAGAGGGGAATTTTGCGGACGCTTTTCTGGCCAAAAACATTCTATATATATATAATCTATATATAATATATATGTATATAATATATATATATAATCTCTATATATATATAATCTATATATAATATATATATATATATAATCTATATATATAATATATATATAATCTATATATAATATATATATATATATGTAGAGTTTTGATGCTCTGGTGAGTCTTGTGGCAGAGTCTTGATCACACCACAACCTGGTGTTGCCCCTGTAGCGCAGTAGTGGTCCAGATGCGCCTCAGGAACGCTACCCTTTTAGGCCAAGGGCTGGGTGGATGTGGAGACAATCTGATTGGTACAAGGTGAGGCCCCCTCAGTTCTGTTTGTGGCTTTATCAATTTACCCGCTGGTAATTGAACATAGCTATTGAACATGGTCATTTATAGTTGATTTTCCCACTAATAATGGTGATTTTCCATAGCTATGTTAGTTTACCAGAGGGTATGTATTGAAGTTATATCTCCCATAAACCCAAACGTTAATCAAACTACTTAAGCGTCAACTTAGCTATCGTAGAAGGGGGCCTCACCTTCATACCCTCACAAGTAAACACACAGAAAGATGTGGAGTTTACCAACCATAAAAGTCATTTTCCCGGAAGAATACATGGGTTTTCCACACATTTCTGTATGTTTACCCTAGGGTACTTTGAGTATTTTGTAGTCTGATGGGTGGTTTTAAGATGTTTCAATCCTTTCTCCATCCAACATGTTCATTGGTGGGCTCGTCGCGTATTTCGGACAGCGTTCCATGCAGCAACAACCAAAGTGGGGTTAGAAACAAGAAAGATTACCTTAAATGTCAGGGTATATCAGGTACGTCGTGATGCAGTGCACATTAACGTGCAGACTTGTTTACATATATATATATACATGAAATATGGACAACATTGGACAACATTGTTGTTGTCAATCATGTGGCAAACCCAATGATAGCCTCGCAGTTGGGGGATGATTTATACAATCCATTTCTGGTGACTTTTGGGGACCGTGACTCCAACTGGGGGTTCTTCATTCCACTGAGCGTGGTTAAACGTGACGAGTTGTTGACTGAGCTGAAAAACTTATGTCCACAACTTCTCACAACTGGGATAGAAAGCATAGCTATTGTGAACTATTTCCATGATAAGTAGAAAATAGCTATGAAACAATCCAATACTACTTCAATGGGAAGACTTTCCATACCCTCCTAATATATATATATGTATATATATATAATATAATATATATATGTATATATAATATAATATATATATATAATATATTATATATATATATTATATTCCCATTGTATCGGTGACTGTTCTTCTTAAAGCCGACACACTCGAACGCCGCCCCGCAGAGGCAACGTTCCGAGACGCCCAGCATGGCAAAGGAGCTGTCGTTACAATGCTGGCGTCAGCAGCTCGTTGAGGCTTTAAGCAACGTTGGGTTTGTTTGAATGGGAAAAATCGACATGTTAAGCCAAGTAGTTAATACCCAAAGTCAACTAAATTTTTAAATGGAGGTTTATTAGGACAATTATAGCTATAAATGTGGGATATATAGCTATAGTCTTGGGTTTTAAACATCGAAATTTTTTAGGATTACAAGTGGATAAAGTTGATTCCAAAAATGGTAATATGGTGAAGGATGGGAAAAAATACCTACTGGTGAAGGGTAATTTAGTAATATTTCGCAACGAAAATGGGGATATAATACAACTATGTGGGTTTTAAACCAACCACAATGTGGATATAATGGGATAAAATGGGATTGTGTTGGGGTTATTTGTATCCAATGGATAGAGCCTTGCCTTCTTAGGCAGTACAACTGCGGTATGATTTAGAGGAGTTGTACCCTTCCCAGGAAGAGTTTGGATCCCTGGGGAATCATAGTGGGGGACAATTTGATGGGGAGATACATAGAAAGAACATGAAATAACCAATGTGGATGTATAGAAAACATTAGACAACCCCGAACAGAACCACACAAATAGAAGTGTGGATTATAAAGGTTCAATTTGCCGCTAAAGTTTGGTACACGTGTTCTGCATGTTTAGTTGCAATATAATGGGATAAACCCACTTTATACATATATATATGATCATAGTTCTATACATGTACACATATGTATTATATGTATATTATATATATACACTCTATATATATATACTGTATATATAACACACACACTATATATATATATGTATATACACTATATATATACACACTATATATATATATACATATATACAATATATATATGTATATGTATATGAGGCATAAAGGAATGAGGACTAGTCTAACTTGAAGGAGTGTACAGTACCACGGATTTGGACACCAGTAGCCAGCCGTGATATGCCATCACGGCCAAAAATATTGGGCTGCAGTAGAAGTTAGAACTGTGTACCCTCTGGTAAACATCCCCTAGGAAAATGGAGGTTTTAATGGGAAAACCATAGGACAACCATAGGAAAATTGAGGTTTACCCTCTGGTAAACATACAAATAGCTATTGAAAATGGTCCATTTATAGTGGATTTACCCATTAAACATGGTGATTTTCCATGGTTATGTTAGTTTACCAGAGGGTAGATTATGAATGATTATGACATATGTTCCATAGATTGTAATATATTAATATATATTATGTATCTATACTCCGTAACTTCTAAGATTCTATATACTTTCATGGCTGTTTAAGTATCTAAAACTCTACCGGCTGATAAACATCCATCAACACTTGAGCGCCTGTGATTGGCAGAATTTTCATGTCCCCACTCGTAACTCGATTCAGAGTTTGGCCGTATCTCAGAGAAAAAAAAGTGGCTCCTGACGATAGTGATAGTTTGTTTTTTTTTTATGTTGATTATATATGTTTGTTGGTTTCAGTGTACATTCGTATCCTGATACTTGTTGAACTGGTTGCTCCAAGCATCATTACAGGATGTGGGGTCAACCCACCAACCCATGCCCCATGGCACCACCCGCGCAGATGGCAGATCTGAGGTACGGAATGGACGGTGTGATTGCTGCTCGGCGCCGTGGGATGGCATGGCAGTGTGCCATGAAGTGCCTGAAATCAATTAATCAATACATTGGGGACAGAGGTGCCAAGAATCTATACACAACACTGAAAAAACATTTTGGTTGGATTTTTAAGATATATGTGCGAACATTGACTTCTATAAGATGTTGTTTGTCATTTTTTCCAACCTTTCCCCCGTTCAACCGAGGTCTTCTCGGACATTTTGACGCCTTTGCCTGCCATGGGCATCGAGTTCGACGTCATTCGAGGTCGAGGTCCCATTGTTTTAGGTGACCTCGCGCGAACGTTGAAGGAGCGGCACGGGCCCCAAACACTGCAACTTCAATATGTAAATAGATGAATAAGCAAAAAATTGATGAAATTTGATGATTACTCATGAAATCTACAGCTATATCATGCTATATACAAGTTTCAGCCCCCAAATTTTAGGATCTTTGCTGTTTAGTTCTAGGGTTTTTTCCCTTGAATCCCTAGGCGATGCTTGTGATGGGCTCAAGGGTAGCTATCATAGCTGGGCTTGTGGTCACTGTTTTTGCTTAATCTATGATTATATTTTATTCAGATTAATCTTAAATAACACTGAGGTTACAAATATCATTTTTTTTGGATTCAGTGTACTTTCTCAGTTTCCACGAGAAATTGTCCTAAGGGCATATGTGGCAGAGGAAAGATCCAGGGGGTTACTTCAGCATCCAGAGGTTGCAATTTTGAGGTTGGGTGCTTGCAAGTTATCTTGGAAATGCCATACTCGAAACGACCCGTGAATGAGTATGTCATCTACCCACTAACTTGTCAAATCCATTAACTTGGGTTCACAAAGTGGGTTACTAATCAATGGATTGGTTTAAGGGGAAAAATTACAGGAAAGCCCCCTATTTCATGGGACAATTTATGGTTTCCAGTTAAGATTTTCCCTTAAACCAATCCATTGACACTAGGGTTTCTGATGTTTATGGTAGTACGGTAGTGTTTCAATGATGAGAATTTACATCAATTTATGACTAGTCTTGGAACTATGGGTCTCTAGGGACAGTTGATACAAGGTGGGGCCCCCCAGTTATAAGATGGTTTATAAACCCCATTAACTATAGTTATAAGTACCATAAACCATAGTTATTGGAGTTATGTGCACCAACTTCGCTATCGAACGGGGGCCCCACTTTGTATGATAACTTCATTCAACCACAATGGTGTAGATTGGACATTCCAAATGGCTCATGGCGCGGTTCGGCAGGACAGGCTGCAAGAGGGTCCCGACAGCATCAGGCGCTCCAATGGTCTATCATCATCTTCGGAAACGGTCGAAACATGGGTTATACCGTAAGTTATACCTATAGGGAATGGTGTGTGTTTTTGCCAGATGTGCAAATTCCGGGATGACCATAGCCCACATGTAACTTGACCATGGCACAGAAAAAAAAACGTGACCATTGTCCTCCATGATTCCCATCTCACATCCCGGCCTGTCAGGGCTGTTGAGAGCAGCAAGGACTTTCACGAGAGCCATGATTTCTTGCACAAGACCTTGAAGGTGGGAGTGAACAATGGGGAAATTGCCTGGTTGGTGGTTTGGAACATGAATTTTATTTGTTCATTCAGTTGGGAATTTCATCATCCCAACTGACGAAGTCCATCATTTTTCAGAGGGGTAGGTATACCACCAACCAGCACTGGATGGCTACTTCAGTACTTCTGGGGATAAGGATCCTCATTACTAAACTACTCTTCAGTGGGTTAGGTATACCACCAACCAGATAGGGATCTCATATTTTTCAGAGGGGTAGGTCAACCACCAACCATATATACATATATATGTATATTATATATATATACTTGTTCCTCATCCATTTATAGATAGGGATTTTTTTATGGGTTTTCCGTGAAACAAACCATCCAGGCTATTGGGATACCCCCCAGATCCAGCCGCACATCTTCGTGAGACCCTACGCTCTGAGACGGAGGGCAAGTGCAGTTTGTTGGGCCGGGGACCCCTGGCGGGTGGGTCGTGGTCCCAAAGTATGGATTGAAGTAAGGGGGAAATCTTAACCGGAAACTGGCTGGTTTTTACAATGTTTTTTTTGGGGGTCCTGTATAATTAACTGTATAACTATGATGTTTGGGTTAGCAATGCCCAGTTATACTGTACGCTAACATACCATACTGGATGGTGGTTTCAAACATGTTTTATTTTCTATTTCATATATGGGATGTCTTCCCAACCCCATTGACGAAGTCCATCATTTTTCAAGATGGTTATTGCACCACCAACCAGTATAACTAACTTTAACTGGATGTTATTGGGATGATATTACTATAGTAGTTTGTTATTGAAGGTTATGGATAACTGGGATATTACTATAATAGTTACTATTGGATAACAACTAACATACTCTAACATGCTAGAACTATTGGATGTTAAACAGGGATGGAGAGCATGGAGAGCAAAGATCCCAACAATCCCCTGTTGGGTGATGGCTGGGACAAGAAGTGAAGAAGTGATCAACTACGATATTACTATACTATTGGTATCACTAGACTAGTGGGGTGCTATCGCATATTGTAAGCTCGATGAATGGTACATCTACTTCATTTGGTCAATGCCATTTGCCACAGTGGATTCCGGACGTGACGGACGGTCCGTGCCGGTTTTCCTCCAGTGATTGGTTGATGACCAGTCCCCAAAAAAGGTGAAGTCTGTCCAGAACCCTTCCATCTTGGTGAGGTCAAGAAGTGTACCAAGTGGTCATTGATGGTTTTCAGGGTGCCAGGATTGTCCAAAATGTCACTTTTTACGAGGGCTCTGTGCCGTCTTTACTGGGAGTAATTTTATGTCGGTGCATCGACCTTGGAGCGCTATGACAGTCTTTGGGGTGGGGGCTATTCATCAGAAAGTCAGAAAGACGTCGAACGTTCAGCATCCTCAAGCGGAAGCGGAGTTTCAGAGAAAGAGTTAACAAAGGCGATGAATGCACAAAAAACCCAGCAGACATCTTTCTTTGTGTTGGGCTTTGTTGCGAATTATAGCTCCATAGTTTTGCAATTTCATAAAGGTGGGTCCATGAAAAGCGAATGGTGGAGATCTAATTAAATTGTTATTGTTGATGCATTGATATTCAGAGGATAATCCCTTTTGTTGCTACGCAAGCAAGCGTATCTCCAGCATTTTCCTTAACATGATGTCCATTCGTAACGCCCTCTTTGTCTTGGAAGATCAGCTTTGTCATGGAATGTTTTTCGCTTCCACTGGCGCCATCTGACAGTCACCAGCTGGGATGATCTGACAGAGGGATCATCTGGGATTTGATCAATGAATTCAATAAGATGTAGCTACCCTCTGGTAATTTAACATAGCTATTGAACATGGCCATTAATAGTGGATTTTCCCATTAAAAATGGTGATTTTCCATAGCTATGTTAGTTTACCAGAGGGTATCAAACCCACTGAGTCTGAGTATTTGAAGACGTTAGCAAACCATGGAATTTTCATAAGACACACAACTAAGAAACCAATACATCTTTATATAAGTTCATTACAGAAGCAACCAATTATACATGTCAACTATAGAACATAATAGTACAAACTGTGTTATTGTGCATGTTTATAGTTATATAATGTTATATATAGTTAATTATTACCTGTATAATCATCCAGCTATAACTCCATGAAAACTAGTTAACCAGCTATCATAGTTACTATATAGTTAACGCAACTGTGCATGGAAGTAACGGCTCGCTTCGTCAGACCCCAGGCTTCGTGGGTGCCCCCTGGACGCTGGCAGCCTACGCGGTGGAGGTGCGCCGCACACTGGCGATTGTTTTGATCAACTGGATGGGGATGATGAGGATGATGGTAGTGGTTTATTAACGGATATTAATGGTATTTAATGGTTATTAATGGATGATGATTATTATTATGATGTTTATTGTTATTATTACTATTATCATCATTATTTTGTTGTTATAACTATAACTGCATACTTATTGAAATGAACTTATTCTATGATGGGAATAATTACTGGTCTTTACTATGACTATCATTGGGATGGGACGGGCTTTTCAGGCTGGGGATGCCTCTGCAGGCTGGAAGTACCAAGGAGGCTGCGATCTTTAAGAAGTGGATGTATGGCAAGCCCGAGGCGCCACGATGGGACAGCTGGTCATGGCAAATTTGATTCTCGGTGTCGCAAATGCTTGTCCAATTCATCAGTGATGCATATTCATTGGTAATCATCATCATCCATTAATAACCATTATATAATATCCATTGATATCCATCAATAAACCACTTCTCATTTTCTCACCTCTATGGTGCCCAAACGGAACTCACGTCTTCAGATTGAAATGACCACAGAGCGATCCCACCTCAAATGATGTCCATTTTTGGAGTCACCCTCAAGTATCCTACTTCAGGTTTACCCTCTGGTAATTTAACAATTTGCTCTTGAACATTGCCATAGACATAGTTGATTTACCTATTAAAGATTGTGATTTTCCATGGTTTTTTGTATGTTTACCAGAAGGTACTTCAAATTGCAACCAGTTCCTTCGCGAAAACGTGGTGCATTTCCTTCACCACCGCCAGGTGGTAGATGAGTTTTTACACCGCATGACGGTCACCATCAGCAACTATGCCATCTACCAGGCTGACCGCAGATGCCAGGGACGCACATAGGTAGCGCTGGAAAATCACCATTTGTAGCAGGTCAATTTTCATTGTGATTATCTATTTCTATGGGTCATGTTCAATAGCTATACTCCGATCTGAAAATGGATGGCGCAGATTTTTGCAATGCACCATCTATAGACCACTTGAGGGATGGGGTGTTTTGCGCCATCTATAGGTTCCCGACACACGTCCTTGAAAACAACCTGTTTTCCTCTAGGTTAGTTTACACTTAGTATTAAGATCTGGGGTCCATTTTTTTTTTGGAAAACCATAATTGTGGATTGCGCCATCTATAGGTTCCCAAAGGAGGAGGGAAAGGAGAAAGGAGAAAGGAGAGGGAGAAAGGGAAAGGAGAAAGGAAAAAGGAAAAAAGGAAAAGGGAAAGGTAAAGGAGAAAGGAGAAAGGAGAAAGGAGAAAGGGAAAGGGGAAAGGAGAAAGGGGAAAGGGAAAGGAGAAGGGGACAGGAGAAAGGGAAAAGGGAAAAGGGAAAAGGGAAAAGGGGAAAGGGAAAGGAGAAAGGAAAAAGGAACAAGATGAAGCCCACGAACCCGAATGCTCACACGTATGTTAATGGTACAGATGTCAAAACACATGGTTATGAAGTGACGCACAATACCTTTCTGCAATCGTTTATTTGAACAGTCTTGTGCATGTTTCCCTTGATGCCAGTCTGCAGTGTGGAGTGGAAAGTGTGGAGTGTGGAGTGTGGAGTGTGGAGTGTAGAATGTAGAATGTAGAGTGAGGAGTGTAAAGTGCAAAGTGTGGAGTGTGGAGTGTGGAGTTTGTAAATTGTAGAGTGTGAAGTGTAGAGTGTAAAGTGTAGAGTGTGGAGTGTAGAGTGTAGCGTGTGGAGTGGAAAGTGTAGAGTGTGGTGTGTAGAGTGTGGAGTGTGGAGTGTAAAGTGTGGAGTGTAGAGTGTGGAGTGTGGAGTGTAAAGTGTAGAGTGTGGAGTGTGGAGTTTGTAAATTGTAGAGTGCGAAGTGTAGAGTGTAAAGTGTAGAGTGTAAAGTGTAGAGTGTGGAGTGTAGCGTGTGGAGTGGAAAGTGTAGAGTGTGGTGTGTAGAGTGTGGAGTGTGGAGTGTAAAGTGTGGAGTGTAGAGTGTGGAGTGTGGAGTGTAAAGTGTAGAGTGTGTAGTGTGGAGTGTAAAGTGTGGAGTGTAAAGTGTGGAGTGAGGAGTGTAAAGTGGAAAGCGTGGAGTGTAAAGTGTAAAGTGTGGAGTGTAGAGTGTATAGTGTAGAGTGTAACGTGTAGAGTGTGGAGTGTGGAGTCTAAAGTGTGGAGTGTAAAGTGTAGAGTGTGGAGTGTATAGTGTGGAGTGTAAAGTGTGGAGTGAGGAGTGTAAAGTGTGGAGTGTGGAGTGTTGAGTGGAAAGTGTGAAATGTGGAGTGTAAAGTGTGGAGTGAGGAGTGTAAAGTGGAAAGCGTGGAGTGTAAAGTGTAAAGTGTGGAGTGTAGAGTGTATAGTGTAGAGTGTAAAGTGTAGAGTGTGGAGTGTGGAGTCTAAAGTGTGGAGTGTAAAGTGTAGAGTGTAGAGTGTAGAGTGTGGAGTGTAAAGTGTGGAGTGAGGAGTGTAAAGTGTGGAGTGTGGAGTGTTGAGTGGAAAGTGTGAAGTATGGAGTGTAAAGTGTGGAGTGAGGAGTGTAAAGTGTGGAGTGTGGAGTGAGGAGTGTAAAGTCTAAAGTGTGGAGTGTGGAGTGTACAGTAAAGTGAGGAGTGTGGAGTGTAAAGTGTAGAGTGTAGAGTGTGGAGTGTAAAGTGTAGAGTGAGGAGTGAGGAGTGGAAAGTGTAGAGTGCAGTGTAAAGTGTGGAGTGTGGAGTGTAAAGTCTCAGGTGAGGAGTGGGGAGTGTAAAGTGCAAAGTGTAAAGTGTGGAGTGTAAAGTGTAGAGTGTGGAATCTAAAGTGTAAATTGTGGAGTGTGGAGTGTAAAGTGTAGAATGTGGAGTGCGGAGCTTCCCCCATAGACACGGCGACGCCACAGGAAAACGAGAGACTCGAGACGAGACACGTGGGTGCAAAAAAACGAGCATTTTGTGCGAGACTTCCTTCAATTTTGATATTTTCAACACATTATCAAACAGGTTGGAATGTCACAAAGTGCCACGCCTGCCACGCAAAACGACATGACAACCTGCTTGGACACATTCGAATAGGAGATGTTTTCCAGCTTCCCCCATAGACACAGCGACGCCACAGGAAAACGAGACACACAGACAAGACACGTGGATGCAGAAAAAAGAGCGTTTCGTGCGAGACTTCCTCCAATTGTGACATTTGCGACACATTATCAAACAGGTTGGAATGTCAAAAAGTGCCACGTCTGCCACGCAAAACAACATGACAACCTGCTTGGAAACATTCGAAAAGGAGAGGTTTTCCAGCTTCCCCCATGGACACGGCGACGCTACAGAAACACAAGCGCCGCAAGACAAGACACGTGGATACAGAAAAATTAGCATTTTGTGCGAGACTTCCGGCAATTTTCACAGTTGCCGACAAGATAAAAAGACAAGTTTTGCAGCTTCCCCCATAGACACGGCGAGGCCACGGGAAAACCAGACACGCGAGAAGAGACAGGTGGGAGCACCAAAACGAGCATTTCGTGCGAGACTTCCTCCACTTTTCACACTTTGCAGCTTCAAAATCGACGTTTTCCTACGAGTTTTCCTTAGAACATGAAAATTTGCAACCTCAAAATCGATGTTTCGTGCGAGGCTTCCGTCAATTTTCAGCACATGTCAGAAAATGCCACGCCTGCCAGGGAATTTGCACCTTGTCACCACTTGACGCAGCCCTGCCAATGCGATTTACAAAAAACACGCAACGCGACACGTCTAAAGTGCTGCGCCTGCCACGAAAAATGACGATGGACACGCCCAAAGTGCTGTGCCTGCCACGAAAACTGCAACACATCTTCTGAAAATGTCGCAAAAGTATTGCGCCTGCCACGCAAAACGACTTTCGACACGTTGCAGAACACGTCTGAATGTCACGAAGTGCCACGCCTGCCACGCGAAACGAAGCAACCAGACGTCTGAAACTTCCAAAAAGGACCACCTCTGTAAAACTTCCCATAGGCACGGCCATACGGTCCTCACGCGAACGGTTGCGGACGGTTGCGGACGGTTGCGAACGGTTGCGCTCGCGAACGCAACGTCGAGCGAACACACCCTCAACCCCCAGACCCCCAGAGTGAAACGGGAACCCTTGCTACGCATTCGGGAAAAAGGAGAAAAGGAGAAAAGGAAAAGGAGAAAAGGAAAAGGAAAAAGGGAAAGGAGAAAGGAGAAAGGAGAAAGGGAAAGGGAAAGGAGAAATGGAATGGAGAAAGGAGAAAGGAGAAAGGAGAAAGGAGAAAGGGACAGGGTAAGGAGAAGGGGCAGGAGAAAAAAGAAAGGAGAAGGGACAGGGAAATAAGAAAGGAAAAGGCAAAGGGAGAGGGAAAGGAGAAAGGGAAAGAACAAAGGGAAAGGAGAAAGGCAAAGGAGAAAGGAGAAAATGACAGGGAACAGGATTTTTCTTTGGGAAAGCATAACTGTGGATTGCGCCATCTATAGGTTACCGCTGCGTTCCATTTGTAAAGGGAAAGGGAAAGGAGGAGGGAAAGGAGAAAGGAGAACAAGGAAAGGGGAAAGGAGAAAGGGGAAAGGGAAAGGAGAAGGGGAAAGGAGAAAGGAGGAAGGGAAAAGGGGAAAGGAGAAAAGGAAAGGGAAAAGGGAAAGGCTAAGGGGAAAGGGGGATTTTTTCAGCTTGCTGTGTGCATTTTTACCCAAAGTGAATTGCGCCATCTACAGCACAGTGCACAGTTAGTGTATGTGTGTGTGTGCTTGCATTTGATTTTGGGTCAAATGCTCAATTTCGGTAAGTTTGTCCCGGTGAATCATGTTATTTACAGGTCGCTGTTTGTATTTTATGTCTCCCAAAGTGAATTGCGACATTTACAGTGCACAGTTAGTGTATGAGTGTGCGTGCATATGATCTAGGGTCAATTGCTTAATTTCGGTAAGTTTTTCCCGGTGAATCGTGTTATTTGCAGCTCGGTGTGTGCATTGATGCCTCCCAAAGAGAATTGCACCATCTACAGTGCGTGGTTAGTGTATGTGTGTGCGTGCATACCACTGTATGTGTGTGTGAGCCACATTTGCTTCAAAAATATGGCTGCATTGGGTTTGAAGATGACAGCTCCACCGGCAGTAGCCCTGCCTGGTGCAAAATGTGGTGAGAATCCAAAGAAAAAGAAAGCAATTCAATCGCTATTTGCTAAAAATAGCGATGCTATCCGGGGTCGCACCATCTGCCAAAAATAGCGATTTTACGGCCAGGCTGCGCCATCTACCGTCGCTATTTAATTATTTTTTTTGCGCCATCTACTTTCAGAGCGGTGTAGTTAATTTACCAGAGGGTACCTAATTTAACTCGACCATACTAGACCCATAGTTGGAAAATATGAGAGTCTTTGGCAACTATTTGGCAACTACCTGAAATTGCAAAGAGACTAAAGATTTGAATGCCACTTTTCGGGGTTTACCCTCTGGTAAACTAACATAACTATCGAAAATCACCATTTTTAATGGGAAAATCCACTATAAATGGTCATTTTCAATAGCTACGTTAAATTACCAGAGGGTACCTTTTTTTGTTGAGCACCCATTGAATGCTGGTTCCTTTGAAGTTTGTTGGCAGTTTGGTGGATGTACAAACACCATAATCCTGATGGAGCAAGCTGGTAGGAAAACCTAAAGGGTTCACAGCATCCTGGATGCTATGTAGGCTTACCCAGAGGTATTTGTGTGAATGTGGGGGAGAAAATCTTGTGTCCGGGCACAACAAGAAGGCAGTTTTAAGACATGTCATGTCTAAATATGTGTTTGTGTTTGTTTCAAGTACTCTTGCTCAATAGGCACAGTTCCATTACCAGAGGAGAATTGAAACATAGGATCGCCAGGTCAAAGTAATCATGTGACTTGTGACAATCAACTTATGATATCTTATGATGAGTTTGGCAATTGAAACCTACCACTACCAGGTCAAAGTTGTTTCGTGACATTTCATCACCATCACCATCGCCACGAGGTAATAAACTATTTTTCAACAAATGTGATGCTATTTGCCGTACCATGAACAAAATTCACAGTCAACAAAAACCAACATGGCACCATTGCGATCTATATTCTTCTAATGAACTATCACCATTAGCATTCCCATTGAATGTGAAACAGGATAGGACTCTACTTTGACTTTTTGTTTTCTTAATTCCACGTGTCGCTGTGATCCGTGTCCTCGTGCCTTCGCAGCAAAAGAAATGAATGTCACAATTATGTATGCTTGGTGGTTCATCCCACTTCATAAGTAGGTTAGTTCACCCCGGTTAGAACTAGATTCACCCCATTTATCCCACCTATAACTTTCAGGTTAGAACCTACTTAATTACTCAGTGGGGTGCGACATAGCAGTGTGATGTGACCTGCAGGTTGAGAGCGGTGCTCAGTGCATCCAGATCTTTGAGCCCGGGAAACTCAGAAAAATTGGGATTCAGCTCTTGCCTCGCGGTCAGGCACAAGGCACGGGTCAGGGTATACCAACATGCGGATACCACTGGTCTATCACCAATGCTGGGATTGGGTGCCTTTAAAGTCCGTTAAAGATCTTTAAGATTGTTTAAGTGGATTGTTATTTCCGGAAAAAAAAAACATGATTATTCTACCATAATTCTACCATCTTCTCCATCATTGATGACTTCCCCCCCGTGGAGGCGGTGGCCATTGACCAGGTCGAGGTTGAGGTTCGTTCATCAAGGCTATTCAGAGATTCAACTCAAAAGAGACCATAGGAGCTTCAATGATGTTAGATCTAGGTGTTTTATGAATCTCACTTGGAATATCATTGAATCTATATACTGTACTTAAACCATCGAATTTAACCATGAAACGTGGAGATTCAACGATATTCAATAGGTGCAAGTTAGATGGAGATACAATAACTTGAAGATTCAATGTATCATTGAATGAATATCAGACAAGAATGGTGTCATCCCATCAAAATTTATCATATTATAATATATCATATACATTTATATATCCCCATGATAATCCCATAAGACGGATATAGTCCCCATATTTTATATTTGATCTATCACATACCCATAACCAGTGATGCACATGGATTTATTGGTTATTTTTTTAAAATTGATATATGACATTTCCCGTTTTTTGGGATCCATACCCATACCCATAACCCATAGGATCCATGTATGCTATATATGGTAACATGGATCCCATCAATATACCCCAAGCACCATGGATCCTATGGGAATACGGATATAATCCCAATTTTTTATATTTGATATATGACATAGCCATTTTTATCCCATGCTTATCCTATTATCCCAAACCATCAACCAATATTATGGGATTAACTCGGATTAACCATTATGTCCCTATTATAATCATAATATCGGTTATGTTGATCCTATTGTTTCCATCATTATCCCAAACCATCATAATGACCATACCCATCATTATCTCCTAATGTCATTATTATCTCCTGTGAATACTGGTTGAAAAAATAGGGACATTATGTTCCTATTATGTCCCTATTATAATCCTATTATCCCATCGCTGCCCCTATTTTTCACGTCCGCGGCGCTCAGGTCCTGGGCGCATTGTTTGACCCCCGAGCTCTGGAAACGGTTCGCCGCGCCCTGTGCCATTCAGGTCGCGTGTCGAATGGCCGGGGATGCGTTGTTTTTTGAGATTTCTTTGCCTCAGATCAGGTTTGACATTAGGATATGTCATATGTTATCTATCTATATATATATATGTATACATGGATAGATATATATATATATATATATTTATAATTACATAGTTACTGAAATTGATTTTAATTTGTCGTCATTTGCAGATGACTCGACCATGTTTGGCTTTGCATCTATGCATGATAGGGTCCCAATCGGGCGCAAGTGGATTTTTTTCAAGTGGGCGCCTTCATGAAGATGGAACATCATGGAGCATCACAAGATGTTTTTTTCACTGGTAAATCATAAAAAAACATCTATAGATGGAGTTTGCACCATGGTTTTACCAGCTGATCAACCTGGAATGTATCATGTTTTAGCATGATTTACCCTCTGGTAATTTGTTACAGTTTGCGAACTTGAACATGGCCATAGACAGTTCGTTGATTTACCCATTACACAACATTATGTTAATTAATTATGTTCCATAGCTATGTTTAGTTTACCAGAGGGTAAATCATCTATAAATGGGACATGTTCCATAGCTATGAATAGCAAGAATGTCAGCTATAGGGGGTGAACGGGTTAACCACGGTTAACCCAGGTACGACCGCCCGTCAACTCATTCCATAACCCATCGAAGCGTTTCTCAGCAGCGCAGGTGGCAGAGAGGCTGCGGAAGGCAAAGCTGAAGCGTTGGAGACGGTGGGAGAGTTTTTACCTATCAATACTTGGTGGTTCACCCCACTTAGTAGGTTAGTTCACCCCATAAGTGGGATAAATAGGCTTAATCCACTGACACCCGTTATAACATGTTATAGTCCACTAAGTGGGATGAACCACCCAGTACTGTAAGGGAATACAATACCTACAATCTACTACCAAATCAGATGTTTTTGGCGCTTAGTATCCAAGATTCGCTATGAATCTTTCATGTTTTGTAGGGTTTGACTTGTAAATTGCATGGTAACACTATAGCAATTGTTTCCGGAGTATGACCTTCCCTCCGCCAACCGAAACAATCCATCCATCATGAACATCTACAGAGATTGGCGTTGATACAGTTCCTTGACTGCTTCGGCATCAGCCTGATGTCCGAATCAGAATCCACAACACGTGATTTGAGGGTTTGCAGAACTGTAGGGTTTCTTGATGTTTCTTGTGGTTGTTGAAGCCAGATGTCATGGAAGGCGGTGTTTTGAAATTGTCGCGATAACCATCCCAATTCATAGACATCATCTAAAACTGTACATCTATATTAAAAAAAATGTGTATACCCTCTGGTTATTTCACATAGCCATGGAAAATCACCTTATTTTTTTTAGGTATATAAACCATCTATTTCATTCTATTTCTATGAGCCATTTTCCATAGCTATGTTAAATAACTAGAGGGTATATGTTCCTTGAGGTCTTTGTGTGGATACTTTATATTGTCCTGAAGCAATTTTTGACCCGAAGTGATCCGAAATGCTGGTCGATGAATCATCCCAGAATGGATTTCTGGTTTTGCCACGTTTTTTAAAATTCATGATAGTCTATAAATAAATCAGTACTATATCATCTATATATAATCTATCATGACTATAATATATATATATATATATAAATATTGATTTACTATATCATGATTTACTATACCACTATATCATCTATATAATCTAAATATTCCCATATGCGAACCATGGTGCTGGAATATGAATCCCTACATTTACCCCCAAAATGGCGCCCAGTCATGTAGGTAAATATTCCAGCACCATGGTTCGCATATGGGTTATAAATAAATCTCATCCAGATTCCATTTCCCATAGGATCCATGTATGCTATATATGGTAACATTTACCATCAATATACCCCCAATGTTAGCATATATACCAGCACCATGGATCCTATGGGTTTATACAGTCCCTGTTTTTTATGATGACTTTGCCCCAATACGTCCAGCGCCCGAGTGTCTCACCTCGGCGCCAGGCGTGTCCAGATGTTCCCATCATCTACTTTGCCAATGGCGGCTCTCCGTACTTCTCGGAGCAGGTTGGAGACATCCTCAATGGCCATTCCAGGATCCTAAAATGGAGGTACCTACCATATATAAGGCCTATATAAGGCCTATGTAAGGGAATATCCCCAGAAAATATTGTCTTATATGGTACAGTACCTCCATTTTAGGATCCTGAAATTCCCATTGACATCCCGTGAATTCCAATGTGGCGCCCCCCTTGGTGGTTTGACCAACACTTGGAATTTATAGTTGATTTATCTTAGCTAAGTTGGTTTTAAACCGATATGGGTTCATGTTGAACTAGTGAGTTTCTGGGTAAGCCAACAACATGGAACGAGGGGCACCAACTAGCTGTGGCTAATTATGTTATTAACTACCGATAAACTATCAATATCACCGTGCCATGTGATGCGGGCTGGAAGATTACTTCCAAACTCAACAATGGGGATGATGAACCAAGTAACCAAACCCTGAACATATGTCCAAAATGGATTTGTCCAAAAACGGGGCGGCTGCCCTTTTTTCAAGGACTTTTTTCAAAGATGGGGAATATTCGTTCGCACCAGTCACGATAGTCCATGTGGTCCACCCCATGTTGAGACGAACCCATTTTTCCATGGGCACAACTGAGGGTCTATGTCGATAAATACCGTTTACATTTATGGGGTCATCTCGAAATGGCACCAAAAAACCGGATTGATCCTCCAAAAAATGTTCTCCAAATATCACCTTAAGTTCCATAGAGCATCATATAGCTTTATCAAGGATGTTCGAGGTATTCCTCCAGAATTTTCTTGGGCCAAAGGTCGAGACTTTGGCGGGGCACATCGATGTCATCGGGGTGGATGCGCCCCTCAGTTGCACGAGGATCCCGGGGAGCAGTGCGTAGTCTTGGGGATATGTGACCACTTGGTGGCTCATCCCAGTAAATAGGTTAGAACCACAGGTATACCCTCTGGTAAACTAACATAGCTATTGAATTAAACATATTCTGGTTGGTGGTTTGGAACATTTTTAATTTTCCATATATTGGGAATGTCATCATCCCAACTGCCTTTCATATTTTTCAGAGGGGTTGAAACCACCAACCAGGTTAGAACATGTTAGAATCCCAGGTATAAGTGGATGAAACTTACTTGTCCTATAGTCCTATAACTGGGGTGAACCAACCCACGTATGTGAAAAAATGGCCAACCTTCCCTACAAGTCTACAGGTATCGAGGCATGCACCCCTTTCACCAACTATGCCAAGATGTGGATTCACAATGAAGGATGGATCAATGGATCATGTGGACCAACACCTACGAGTGGATGCCGGAAGAGACCTGGATTCTGGGGTTGGAGAGCTCCATGGATTCTGCCCGACCAGACGAATATGATGAGGGAGTATCGCACCAGACCTGGCTCCAGATTGGGCACCGAATCAACTGGCTGCAACCGGTGAAGACTTAGTAATTAAGTGGGATGAGCAACCAAGTAATGATATGCTGGTTATAGTTGGTGACAATGCTATGTTTAATCTTTACATTTGGTGATATGAAGATGTTTACTGGGGTGATATTTTAACTTGTACAGTATATGACCAGCAAAAATTGAGGTTGATATGTGATTAATAGTTGGGATTGCTATGATATAATCAGCAAACTTAGGATATTTTGTACCAACCCTAAATGTGGTGGCTTATGAAGAATGGTCAGTATGTTCCTGATGTTTGGGGTATTCCCAAATACAAGTGGGCTATTTAATTATCCCACGAAGGCTATAACTATGGTTACCCTCTGGTAAACATTTACATCTCTATGGAAAATCACCATGCTATTAATGGGAAAAGTCACTATTTCTATGGCAATTTTCAATAGCTATGTGAGTTTACCAGAGGGTAAACCTCCATTTTCCTATGGTTTTCCTATGGTTTTCCTATGGGTTTTCCTATGGTTGTTTTCCCATTAACATGCTATAACATGCTATAACGATGGTTAGCAGTTGGAATTCAGATGTCAAGTGTCCACCTTGGCCCGGATTCGAGTCAGAATTTTAGGCGGCATGTCGGACATGGCCAGGTTAGTGAAGCGGACGGAGATCCAACATTTTATGGCAAAATATATGGTATATCAATGGGATATGTAATATATGGTATATTAATGGGATCCCCAAATGGGCCGCAAGATTCAGGTTAGTGAAATATTATAATTTACCCAGATATATGGTATATTAATGGGATATGAATGGTAAAAATCAATGGGGTATAGTATTGGGATAATAAAACATCTGGTTATGACTAACATAGCCATGGAAAAAAAACAAAATAGATGGAGGTTTCTAGCTGGGAAAAACGGAAAATCATCTATTTCTACGGGCCATGGCTTCCATGGCTATGTTAAATTACCAGAGTGTAAACCATCAATTTCTGACCCATGGATATTCACATACATTCACCAGATGAAGATTTGCCGTAAAGCTGGTTCGTTGTTTTTTATTTCTGATCAGTCGTCTAGATCTATTGGACTGAGGCAATGCCCAATTGTTCTTTGGACGAGCCTGTCCCCACTGTCCTGGGATAGGTGCATGCCAGTAATCCTCAATGGCTGGTACACCTAGTTATCCATCTTTGCAAATTTGGCAAGTTGGGCTAGGGCACATTATTACTGGGGTGAGACAAGCTGTTGACTGAATGGGGATGAAGAGCCAAGTAGAAAGATGCGTTGCTTTAAAGAGAGAGAGAGAGAGAGTACCGCAATATATCCCATTGGCGAGCATCATTTTCTCATGATCGAGTTTGTCTGACAATAGGCTACTCCATGCAACAAAAACCATCCACCGCTTCGAAAAATCACGTTCTCTCTGGTTTTTCAAATGATAGCCGATAGCCATTGGCGAACCATTTGAGGGATCAATCCCCTCTCTCTCAAACAGATCCAAATATCATTTTCCATCGGATAGAATAGGTTGGTTATATATATATATCATAATGAAATATAATAGGTTGGTTTAATATAATTGTTCATGATATTCTACTTTAAATATCCGCTAATATTGTTGGGTATATTCCCATGACAGATCCCCAAATGTGACGCTTTTCCCAACTCATCAGTGGACTGTCCCAGCTCTCCCAGAGTTGCAGCGTCTCCGAGGCACATGAGAATGGAGCAAGCTGCAGAAATCATCGACCGACTGGGTGCAGGACAGCGTCCCTGTGGACACATTCAGGATGTAATGTAGTAAACCCAATAATCAATGGCCATTCCAGGATCCTAAATTGGAGGTACCTACCGTATATAAGGCCTATATAAGGCCTATGTAAGGGAATATCCCCACAAAATATGCCCTTATATGGTACAGTACATCCATTTTAGGATCCTGAAATTCCCATTGTAGTAAACCCAATAATGTCAACCCCGGATTTTGCAAAACCATGGTTTATTAATTAGGGGGGTACTCCTCCAATAGTCATTTCATCCAATACTTAAATGGTACCCCCCCAATTAAACAGCCGTTTGGGGTTTATTAATCCAGGGTTGACATTAATGAACCATCCCAGAAACCACCCCTTCAGGTGCTGCAATAAATAATAATGAACCCCAGTTGGGGATGGTTTATTACTAGGTTTATCACAGATTATCACAGTTGCTGACCATTCACCTGGAAATTTCACTGTTTTACTATAGATTCTGTTCATGATCCCCTCGCTGGTTGGCTATGTTTGGCTGCTTGTTATTGTTCAGGTGAACTATTTTTCAGATCACCTCAAAGTTCGTCCCAGACAACTTGGATCGCAAGGATCAACTCCAGTTGCATATCCAATTGCCAACCACTGATCTTCCCTTCCCTTGAATCATTTTGACTTAAGAAAAGAAACGTGATGTGTTCAGTCGAGGACAAGGATTCTCCAGCCAGCAGAGGAAGTGAATTATACATATTGCACTGTTTGATACTGGTTGTTTCGACTATCGAAAGCTGTTCGGCTCCACCTTTGGTGCCATGGAGACCAGGGTCGCCAGTGATCAGGCTGACCGTTCCATCGAAGTTGAGATCTCGTTGCCAAGTGGACGTTGTGAAACTGTCACCATCTCGCAGTGTGGAACCATTGCCGACTTGAAAGTAACTGCGCAGCAGGCTTTGGGGCAAGGTTTCCTGAGACTTGTTAGTGCTGATGGGCGCCTTTTGGATCCGACAGACTCTGTGCGACGTTCTGGGCTTGAAGATGGCGACAGCCTCACTGCTGTTGCACAGCAGCCAAAGATAGCTGCAGCATGGAATGCGTTTGCTCTGTGGTGTGTCAGGCGACACAGAATTGTCACCTGGGGCCCTGCAGGTCATGGTGGTGACAGCTCCAGAGTCCAAGATCAGCTGAGGAATGTGCAGCAGATTTGTGGTTCACGTTTGGCTTTTGCTGCCATTTTGGCTGATGGAAGCGTGGTTACGTGGGGCAGTCCAGACCATGGCGGTGACAGCTCCACTTTCCGAGATCAGCTGAGGAATGTTCGGCAGATTTGTGGCACACTCGGTGGTTTTGCTGCCATTTTGGCAGATGGAAGCGTGGTGACCTGGGGCAATCCACGCCAAGGTGGTAACAGCTCCAGAGTGCAAGATCAGCTGAGGAATGTGCAACAGATTTGTGCCACACAAGGCGCTTTCGCTGCCATTCTGGGTGATGGAAGCGTGGTGACCTGGGGCCATCACGACGATGGCGGTGACAGCTCCAGAGTCCAACATCAACTGAGGAACGTTCAGGAGCTTTGTGGCACACTCGGTGCTTTTGCTGCCATTTTGGCAGATGGAAGCGTGGTGACGTGGGGCAATCCACAGATCAGCTGAGGAATGTTCGGCAGATTTGTGGCACACTCGGTGGTTTTGCTGCCATTTTGGCAGATGGAAGCGTGGTGACCTGGGGCAATCCACGCCAAGGTGGTGACAGCTCTGGAGTCCAAGATCAGCTGAGGAATGTGCAACAGATTTGTGCCACACAAGGCGCTTCCGCTGCCATTCTGGGTGATGGAAGCGTGGTGACCTGGGGCCATCACGACGATGGCGGTGACAGCTCCAGAGTCCAACATCAACTGAGGAACGTTCAGGAGCTTTGTGGCACACTCGGTGCTTTTGCTGCCATTTTGGCAGATGGAAGCGTGGTGACGTGGGGCAATCCACGCCGAGGTGGTGACAGCTCTGGAGTTCAAGATCAGCTGAGGAATGTGCAGCAGATTTGTGGTTCACGTTTGGCTTTTGCTGCCATTTTGGCTGATGGAAGCGTGGTTACGTGGGGCAGTCCAGACCATGGGGGTGACAGCTCCACAGTCCGAGATCAGCTGAGGAATGTTCGGGAGATTTGTGGCACACTCTATGCTTTTGCTGCCATTTTGGCTGATGGAAGCGTGGTGACGTGGGGCAATCCACGCCAAGGTGGTAACAGCTCCAGAGTGCAAGATCATTTTGTGTACGTTTAGGCGCATTTCAAGGCAAAAAGAAGAGCCTAGGAATCATGGGAAGTCATGTCAGAGAGGTGCGAAGAATCATGTTTCTATGTGTTTCCGAGTGGCTGTTTTCTCAAGTTTGTTTGTTAATCGGGAATTGCTACGTGATACTAGTATATCATATTATATTATATTATGTTATGTTATATTATATTATACTATATTATCTTACTATAATACAGACACATGTATCATTGATTTCAACAATAGGCCACTTCACAATGCTTCAATGTGCCGGAAAAAAAACACATTAATTCTATATCCCCATGAATATTATGGGACTGGGTCAAAACCTTAAAAAAATACCGGTGAAATACCATGGTTTGCGGATAGGGACTGCGTCCACAAATCCCAGCTATTTTGGTGTGAACTATAGGGTACCAGGGTGACCTGACCCGATAATGTCCTTTTTTTATTTGGTTCTATCCCACTATATGATATTCCGTTTTATCTCCATATTGTGACTTTTATTGCCACAACCCCTGGAAATACTCATTGGATTCATGTATATATATATATAATTATATATATATATTAAATATAATATATATATATATATTATATTTAATATATATATATATTATAAAATATATATATGTTATAATATATATATACATTTAAATTCTACCATATGTTCTACCAGTATTATATGTTATATATTGTTATATATTATTCATAGGTAGTATGCTGTATCCCCATGAGATCGTTGGGATCCCAGGACGAGGGAGCTCCTCGCCGCTGATTCTGCAGGGCAACGCCTGGGAGCCAAGGCACCGAAACGGTTTCAGTTGGGTTTCTGATGGGTGAAATGATCCATCCAAATAATGGATTGGTTTAAGGGGATATGGATATTAATCAATTATTAAACCCAGATAATTTTGGGAATATGGAAACCCAGTATCTGAAAATGATTAATTAATCTTTCTGGGATTATTTCACCCCTCAGAAACCATTGAATGGATAAAATCTAGTTGCATCCTCAGTTGGGTTCCAGGTGATAATCTTTCTGGGATTATCAGAAACCTGGGATTGGATTGTTTATCAGAAGGGATTATCCATTATAGTTATGGGATTATAATCCATTATAGTTGATTATCAGAAATCCATCCATAATCAGGGATTGGATTGTTTCAGCATAGATTTTGTTCTTATCAGATGGGTGAAATGATAATCCCATTAGGGTGATAGCTTCACCATCCAAGATTGGATTATGCTCTAGCCACCTGAGTTGGATTGCAGAAACCATCTGATGTAAAGATTAGTCACTACCCATCCATGTGGATGTGGATATGTAGTATATTTGGTAGATTGTAGGTATTGTATTCCCTTCCAGTACTGTGTGGTTCATCCCACTTAGCGGGTAAGTTTCCGTGGATTAAGCCTATTTATCCCACTTGTAACTGGGGTGAACTAACCTACTAAGTGGGGGTGAACCACCCAGCATTGATAGGTAAAAACTCTCCACGGTCTCCAACGCTTCAGCTTTGCCTTCCGCATCCCTACAAGTTACTGGAATGTACGAAGGGGGGGGCCTAGCTAATGTACGGTATGTTTTCGTACATTATTTTTATCCCCAGGAGCTGGTTCGTACATTTCCAGAAGGGGGGGGCCATATGAGGAATGGCAGATAACTATTCGCCCACAAGTTTGGTATAGAATCATAATATGCCACTGCGAATGCCTGGGAATCATGGGAAAGGATGGAAAAGGAATACAAAGTTAATGCGCATTTTCATCGGCATTGATGATTTGTTTTGTTTGTAACGTTTGTGGCTTGTAGCGGATTATAGCGGCATTCGCTGGCAGGATTCGCTGTTGCCACTGTTTTCCAGAATCCTCCCACAAACGTAGAATGCTGGAAAGCGGTGGCAAATTCAATGGAGAAGACATTCGAGGGGACAGTGGAACTCCAGAACCATCCTGCTATATCTTGCTACTGTCTGTGGTTTTGGGCGAGCTTGTCCTCTTCCTTGCGCTTTTGTGACTCTTGCTCTTGCTGCTCCTGCTTGTCTTGTCTTGGCCCACCCCAAAATCATTGTGGAGGGAAGCGACCTGCACATGAAACGACATTGTTTTCAAGATACATCGATGACATCAGAAAAAGTCAGTCAGGAGAGAAGGGTGTGTCAAGTCTCTGGCTTCAGAGCTGTCGAAAAGATTGGCCTTCAAGATTCAGAAATGTCAGGAGCAAGCCGGATCAATAGAAAGTGGCAGCACCAGACAAAGATGCCGAGAGCAAGAAATGTTGCGGACAAGAGATCGCGCTGTCGACGGCCGTGCCAGCCAGGCGGTCACGGGCCGGTTCTATAGGCTCTCCCTTGTCTTTATAGGTTCTTCCATGTTCTTCCTCTCAAAATTTCCGTCATCCGGCTTGCCCGGGCTCTACTTGTAGGATCTCCTAGTAGTCTATCCTAGTGGTGATGTTTGCTGACAAAATCTCATGATGTATGTAAATAATAGTCCAAACAAATAGATTCATTTAATTTTGATTAATACCTTCCGATTCATGGTCAATAAACCCCCAAAAATAATGGTTGTCGGTGGTCAACTGCTTCACAAGCCATCTTATGCCATGACACTGGCACGCCATTGGCTTGATTGATGAGCTGGCTGTGCGGGCTCCAGCGTTTCTTCGAATGCAGTGGAAAGGAAAGACTTCCGAATTTGGTGAGTATGTGTTTGGTGAATTCACCAAATGTGTGGAGTCAGCTGCGGTGTTTCGAACCTTCTTGACCAACGTGGACAAGTTTTCGCCACCTGTCCTTCCCGGTGCTTGAACAGAGATTGCACAATGAAGTGCGCAGTGAAAATTGATTTTCAAAGAGTGATGGCATGCACCTTGGACAAGTGGCCTTTTCACCCAAACTTGGGGCATCTTGGGGCAAACAGATGCGAAAAATGAGCAGAAAAGAGTCAACAAGTTCTGCAAGGGTTCCATGCGTGGTTCCGGTTGATAAGCCATAGTGAATTTAGGGTTATGTTGACTAAATTATCGTTTGGTGGCCTTTCTTTGTAGTGACAAATTGCTGGTAATCATGACCTCTGACCCACAGAATCCCACAGACACCTAGAGTTTGCCTGGTTCATTACTGCTTTCTACATTGCAACTTCCTAGAACATAATGTTGGAAACAGAACATTGACCATCATCAACCCACTGGAATCTTTGGCTGACATCCCCATCGTTGCCTTTGAACGGATCACTACGGATCTGCAGGGACCCAAAGGGGTCATGATAAAACAGCAAATCAAGACATGGGGATGGATCCCCTATGACAAGCATGAAATTCTACCCTTTGGCAAATTAACATAGACCCTGGAAAGTAGGGGTTGGAAGACTGGTTTCCACTAAAAATGGCTTATTTTCAGGGTCTATGTTAATTTACCAGAGGGTATATTTGGGGGATGAACATCCATAGATCCCAGCTTTGGTGTGAAAAAATGTGAAAAATGGGACGGGGATTCCATTGGTATTCCATGGGTGTCATGACGTCCTCGAAGCATTTCGCAGCACCATCCTGCCAGAAGACAACTCTTAGAGTTAGTCGCTATAGTTATCCCACATATTATACATATTAAAATTGTTTAATTAAACTTGTGCCATAACTATAGTTACATTATGTTGCTATCACCAGCTGTATCCAACATATATATATATATGTATAATATATAAGTGGGATGGTCTGATGGTCCTAGTAACCTCAGGTTGATGCCCACTGTTTTTGGAATATGACATCAAATGGCTTCGACTTTAGGGTTGGATTGGTCAAAAACACGGACTTGGCTGCCATAGGCTACCAAAGGAATATGGAATTGGTATCAAATGCATACTTGTATAGATATTTTTTGAACATACCCAGCAAATCCGGGGAATATATGATAATATATGGATATCCGCTGTAGCCTCCATTGGTGGCTTGGAAATGTACGGGGGGGGTGGGGTGGCCCCCCCAGAAACTTGTAGGGATCCTTCCGCAGCCCCTCTGCCACCTGATGCGCCGTTGTTGATATGACGCGTTTATTTAGATGGACTATTGAATGAGTTGACTGGCGGTCGTACCTGGGTTAACTTACCTTCTTGCTATTCAACATAGCTATGGAATATGTCCCATTTATATAATTATTATAAATTATTTACCCTCTGGTAAACTAACATAGCTTTGGAACATCATCTTGTTTAATGGGTAAATCAACTATGTCTATCACCATTTTCAATAGCAAACTGTTAAATTACCAGAGGGTAAATCATGGTAAAACATGATACATTCCAGGTTGATCAGCTGGAAAAAACCATGGTGTAAAACTCTGAGTGTTATGATGTGTTTTGCAACTTTTGAATTAAAACCATAGTTGGGTTTCTGGTTCTTGAGTTGTAGGTATTTAATTATTGAAGCATGAATTGTATTGGGTTCATGATTGACTGTGACACAACAGAGGTTTACTATTGGGGGGTGGTAGCATTGGGTGTCCTCTCATGTTTCAAGGTCAACTTGAGTAAAATTAGGTGTGTTTGATCGTAATTTTTACCAACTTACGATTTCAACCGTATTTGGTTTGAAAGAACTTGCTAATAATCTCTAGCTACAACCAGTCCAGAGTTGTTTTTGATATGAGCCCCTCAAAAAGATAGACAAAGTAGTTCATCGCATTGTATCATATTGTATCGATTTTAGCGTTTTATATAGTTTGATCATGTTTGATCTATTGGGTCTATTGGGGGTCAGCTATTTTTTTGGTGGGGTCATCAACTGGAAGATATGTATTCAAAAGACTTTTCCTGAGGACTTCATCTGAATTGCACCAGCAGAAACAGCTGGGGATTTGACCATCTAAATTGGGGATATCATGGATCTAAATTCAATATTTCTGCTTGGTGGTTTGGAACATTTTTTATTTTTCCATATATTTTGAATAATCATCCCAACTGACTTTCATATTTTTCAGAGGGGTTGGTATACCACCAACCAGTTCTGGTTGGTGGCTTGAACCTTTTTCACTTTCAACTTATATAACTGGGATGAGATCCCCGAGGACGTTCAACTCGTCTGTCGGGTGGCTCCACCGAGGTTGACCCATACGTCTTGAGATATGGCGATGAGGACACGATTCGACAGGTGCCCTGTTGGGAACCCATTCGTCCAGTTGCAGTTAGAGCAATTAATTAATTTGGGAAAACCCAATGATATTATGTTTAGAGCTTAGATGTGTTTAGTGATTAGGGATCAGCATTTGTGTTCACCGCCAGATGTATTTTGTTTGTTTCTGCGTATTAATTGTGTTGGAAACGTTGGTTGCTCTACTGAAAGGATGTCCACATTGTACTTGCTATCTCCTCAATAATACCTATTGACCACACCATCAGCGCTCTCCGGCAAATACTGCAGATGCCATGGTGCCATACCAATGTTACCAAGAGAGATAGTGACGAGAGGTCATGTTCCAATACTTCAGCCAAGAGAGATGATGCTGCACATGTTGGCTGACAGTGAGAAGAAAAGGGCCGACTCGGGCGAGCAGGCCTGTCAAACTATGATATGTAGCAAGTTTCACATTTTCGGCAGTCCAAGCTGGCACTTGTCGCGATGTGGGGACGAGCCGGTCGGCTTTTATGTTTTGACACCGGGGTGCATGCGAAAGTCACATTGCATTGAAATGCCTTGTGGCGATTGAATGATGCACACCAGCTGCAAGCTTCAAGGCATGAAGTGCAATAACTATCCAAGAATGGTTTTGATTTTGTTCATGAAGTGCAGTAACTATCAAGAATGGTTTTGATTTTGTTCATGAAGTGCAATAACTATCCAAAAATGGTTTCGGTTTTGTTCATGAAGTGCCTTCGATTTTGTTCATGAAGAGCAAGAACTATCCAAGAATGGTTTTGATTTTGTTCATGAAGTGCCTTCGATTTTGTTCATGAAGAGCAAGAACTATCCAAGAATGGTTTTGATTTTGTTCATGAAGTGCAATAAGTATCCAAGAATGTTTTTGATTTTGTTCATGAAGCGCAATAAGTATCCAAAAATGTTTTTGATTTTGTTCATGAAGTGCAATAACTATCCATATAATTGGTTTCGATTTTGTTCATGAAGTGCGTTCGATTTTGTTCATGAAGTGCAATAACTATCCAAGAATGGTTTTGATTTTGTTCATGAAGTGCAATAACTATCCAAAAATGGTTTTGATTTTGTTCATGAAGTGCAATAGCTATCCAAGAATGATTTCGGTTTTGTTCATGGAGTGCAATAGCTATCCAAGAATTGTGTCTTCTTTTGTTATGACATCCCTCTAGCCGAGATGTTCTAATTATGGTATGTTGTTGCTTTGTTGATGTAGGAAGGACCACTTTCTGACCCTACAAGGTGGTGCCCCCCAGTTAAAATTTGTTTTATAACATTTTATCACCACATTTAGTGATGGAGATATGGTTGAATGGACTTATCATATCAATTTTCCCAAGGAAGCATAGTTCCAAGACAAGTCATATATTGATATAAATTGTCACAATTCAACAAATACTATAAAACCTAGTGAAATTGGAGTTCTGTGCAACAACTTATCCTCTGGCAATTTGTTACATAGCGACATAGAACATGGCCCAGTCGAAATAGTTGAATTACCTATTAAACATGGTGGTTTTCCATGGTTTTTTGTATGTCTACCATGCCGGGTAGCTAGCCAACTGGGGCACCACAGACCTGTCCTGGAAGGCCGTGCGCCAGACCATCGATGCAGCCGGAGGTGCTGGAAGGTGCCATGTTCACAGGGAAACCGCTGAGACATAATCTGGTTGGTGCTTTGGAACATGATTTTGTCCCATATATTGGTATTTTGTTCAGAGGGGTTGGTATATGACCAACCAATGGATGGTAGCCACAGATATTTGGTCCCCATATACTGAACATAATCATCCCAACTGACGAACTCATATTTTTCAGAGGGTTGGTTGAAACCACCAAGCAGTAATTATATAATATATCAATACCAACATAATTATATATATATATATATATATCAATGTCATATATACATATATATATATATATATAATGTAATATACACCTATAGGTAGAATTATTTAAATACAGATTAATCAAACTATTTCTATTGTAATTTTCTTTGTTAATGTGTGATATAAACCATTGGAACTTTGGCTACTATCAAATTTTGGAGTGTTTTTGTTGTTTTTTTTTGAAGGGGGGATGTGAATTATGATGCATTATCCTTACTTTGTTTAGTTGGAATACTACTCGTAGACTGTCCCATTTAAGAACACAACATAATTGGTTTTAGTTCCCTTAGCAAGTACGTGGATCGTTTGATTCCGCAACCATTTGTTGTAAGGATTATCATCCAACAAAACTTCTAGTGGCTGATCCAAAAGGTTGATATATAGCCACTGCAAGTGGATGCCATTGATGAATCAATGAGTGGTCTTGGTGACATCTGTGTTTCCCCTTTTTTATGAGACTAAATATCTTTAAGTTCACCCTGCAACCACTGCAAGCATTTACGAATTTTCACAGCTTCAATTGGGTGAAATGGTCGTTTTTGAGCATGGCTGGTTGGTGGTTTGGAACATGTTTTATTTTTCCATATATTGGGAATAGTACCCCCAACTGACTTTCACTCCATATTTTTCAGAGGGGTAGGTGGCTCAACCACCAACCAGATTATTAACAGTATATGACCAACCAATGGATGGTAGCCACAGATATGGAAAAACCAGTCCGGGTTTATCACTGGCGACCGCTACGGCCGCCAGGCATATCCTCAACCTTGGTCATGGGGTGCTGCAAGGAACCCCGGAGGACGGTCAAGTTACATCCCACCATGGGTTGAAAGTGGGGATGGCCATCAGCAAAACTTTCAAAATGCTGGGAACCTTATGGGAACCTTATGGGAAAGCATAGGAAAATTGTGATTTAACCAACTAGCCTCTGATAATTTTTGTGACGTAGCTATTGAAAATGGCCATTGATAGTTGATTTACCCATGAAAATCGCATGGTGGTGTTCCATAGTTATGTGAATTTATCTGAGAGCAAAAAACAATAAAAAATATAGATTGATAGTTGATACCCTGTACAATCTATATATGCTATCACAAACCATGTTTAGTATTGCATTTAGAAGAGACCCGTAAATTGGAATGATCAAGGATTAAAAGCCTGCTTGCCAGCTTGCTTCAAGGATCATCCCAGAGTAAGGAAAGAAGATTGTTCTTATATGTTCTTATCCCTTAAGACTCTTCAACTTGAGCATCTCACGTTTTTTTCCCAAATGGGGGGTTTCCTGGAATGGGGGTACCACCAAATGGATGGAACATCCAATCAATTAAAATGGATGATTTGGGGGTACCCCTATTTTAGAAAACCTCCAAAATTGTGACAATTAGTTCATTTTTATAAACACCCTTGGCTTTTAGATCCCCATTTTTGGGAAGGTGTCTCAAATTGCAGACAAACTCTTGCCATGCTGAAAATTTGTGGAAATAGATGACATCTCACATGGTCAGGAAATCAAAGGGCTTTGGGGTTTACAAATGGAATTTGGCGGTAGGCATCGCCAAACGTCATGTCATGTCTTTGTGTTTCTTTTTTTAGATCTTTAGCAATTGCATTGTCCCTGTGGAGTCTGATACTTCTGGCTTCCCCTCTGGTAATTTAACATAGCTATTGAAAATGCCCATTTATAGTGGATTTACCCATCGAAAATGGTGATTTTCAATAGCTATGTTAAATTACCAGAGGGTATCTCCTTCTCTGTCCACCTTCGGTCTTTGCCAGCCAACGATGTTTTATGTCCCATTCCAAAAGGGACGCTGGCTCAGGTGGACAAGTACTTATTTTTTGGGGGTTTTCAACCAGCCAGATTGCTGTTTGAAGTTGTTTTCCCATGTTTGTATATGTTCATACCCCGAATACATCCTATCATCATACCTTCATACCACTAATTTATGGCTCAACCAGCAATCAAATCATGAACTCAGTCAGGATTACGATAGATTAACATAGATTAACCCCTTGATTGTTAGTAATGTGTCCATTCTCTTCCATCAATGGTTCAAACTTGGGATATCCTCCCAACCACTACCAGTGATTCGTGGAGCTCAACGATCAAAAAAGGGTGGGTGGGGAATGTCAGAGGGCAGGGGGGATAATCCCTATAAATAGTATAAAATATCCACATGTCGTTGTTTATATCATGTATATACTTTCATACTCTTTGATATAATAGAAATATAATATATATATATATAAATATAATATAATATCGTATATACATATATATATGTGTATCACATCTTCACAACATAGCCAGATCTGAGCTGACAGGAGAACGTCCTCTATTTTGTGGAGGAAGCTCAAACTTACTCTGGCTCCCACTGAGCGCCGGTGGTCGTTTTGCAGCGCATGGCAATTCGGATCTGCAAATGAAGCAGTCGTAACCAAGGCATCGACGGGGGCTTTACGTCACGTCACGTAGTGACGAGGATTGGTGGTATCATTCAGCAGCATGTCCGATCTTGTCAAGTTGGGGAATTACCATGATCATGATGTATCCACAATCATCATGCTTACCCTCTGGTAAACATACAAAAAGCATCAAAAAGCTATTGAAAATGGCCCGTTTATAGTTGATGTTCCCATCAAAAATGGTGATTGTCCATAGTTATGCTTAATTGACTTCGTTGACTTGATCAAACATCAAGCGCCCTTGGTTTTGTTGTGGCATCAACCTCCATAATTCAGTAGACATGTTTTTCATTTTGCATACACAAAACATCCAAAAACCTGGCGTACCCTCTGGTAAACTAACATAACTATGGACAATCACCATTTTTGATGGGAAAATCAACTATAAATGACCATTTTCAATAGCTATGTTAAATTACCAGAGGGTAATAGTTATGAGATGTTATGAGTGTCTTTTGAGATCCAACATTTCTTCAGTAGCATACGCCAGATACACTCTTGCAAATGAACGTGGTATAGAAGATTCATCAAACATGCTCGTATCCAACAGAAACTAACATCATTCATTTACTTGAGCTCAACTGAACGGAATGAGTTGGAATTGCTGCTTGGTGCTTTCAAATATTCCATATATCTGGGTAACTTGGAATATTTCACTATCCTGAATAGTTCGGCCATGGCTGGGGATGATTTATGATGATTTCCCTCTACATTCACCATGATTCCAGGGTCTTTGAACAGGCTTCGGTGGCGAAATTTTCATCCCCAGTTTAATAATCCTAACTGGAATTTTTAGTTGGTATATTCAGTGCCTTGGTACATGAATTGTTTCCCCCAATCTTTAATCATATCAAGTCATATCAAGTAAGCGTTTTACACAACGGAATGTACAGGATCCAGATTCATTCAATCCATCCCTTCAATATTGGGTGTCCGATCCAAAAGGCGTAGGAGTTTTTCTTTTTAAGGATGGAATCTGAAGCCATGATTTCCATCGTGCCGTTCAAAAAACGGCCGTGGTTGGTGGTTGCTTTTTGGGCTGTTGTTTTTTTTTCTGCGTTTAATCTGACTTGGGAACAGGAACTGACTTTGAACCAACTTGTTTTTGCTTCGATCGTAGCACCACCAACCATCTATGATTTCTGTAAGCGTGCGCCGCGTGCCTGACTTGAAAGTCTGTTGTCAATTTGCTGCACATAATATAAGTTTAAGATAGTCTAAGTAATTAGCACCTTCTTCCTGATCTCGATAGGTGGCTCTAGTCATCATATTGCCCAGTGGCTGGTGGTTTCATTTGGGCCCCCCTCAGCGAACGGAAGGAAACCATGATCTCCAAAGATCCTGGGGGAAATCCACATCGTGAATTCAGTGAAGGGTATAGGCTTACCTATGATTTTCTTGGATGAAATATGAGTATTTGTATGAATATATATATATATATGATATGTATATATATAATTATTACAGTGAAACGTTGTGTAATTCCCATTGAACGGCATGAATCATGCCCGCAAAATTTAATATCCTCAAGGATCCTTTCGTTTTGTTGTCACCAACTCCCATGCGTTTTTCTGTCCTGGTGTGTCTTTGCACTTTGGCCTCTATCGTTCGAGATCTCACCACACCTTCGGCTTTGGCCGAGCAAGAGGCATTGATCCTTCGAAACGAACTACGGCTGACCAGGGAGGCACTGGAAGAGTCCAGAGGTTTCCAGGAACATTGTGCCTGGCGGATCTGGGCTTTGAACTGGACTCTGAGGGTCTTAAGTCTAGTGGATTTGGGGTTTCTGATTTATTTGGTGTACACCCACTTTACTAGGCGTCGTAGGGTTGTTGTGGTTCCCCCTGAAACTCATCTGGAAATAACTGGGGATACTAAAGGGGTATCAGATAGTGATAGTCCTATCAATAGCCCCCGAAGGATTGAATCTAAAGGGTCCCATAGTTCAGGGTCCAGTCCAAAGAGCAAAGGGAGGCCAACCAGGCCCTCGGATAGAAAGACAAAGCAATGAACGCAGACCTGAGTCTAGATGTCCCAGAAGTCCAAGTTCTCATCAACTTTCCAGCTGATCCTGATGGGTTTTACTGGCACCATCGCATTTTGTTGTGCCGTGTGAGTGGCGCATCATGGATGACTCTCACTCCAGACCACGAGGTCCAGCAGCACGACCTGAGCACCCTTGTCCATCGGGTTCTGAATCGAAGGTCACCTTTTCCAGCAGACATAGTAGACGAGGTTTATGCGCATGACCCCATTGGTCGCGCAGCCTTGAATGGATTCAAGAGACAGGCTCAGACCATGGCTGTGATCTTAGGGGAAGGGGTTTTACCTGACACGGAATCCACCCAGTGGGTGATCTGCGATCCAAACCATTCTCAATTTGGTGAGGTTGTGGATGAGGCCATGCTCGAGAATGAAGCTACAGGCCTTGCTTTTTCTCAAAAAGGCGTGGTGCTGAAGGATGGAGAGGAGATCTTCATTGAGCGGGTGGCCAGTGACCAAATAGAGACTTGGAAGAGAGAGAAGCGACTGGGCTCAGCTGATGTGAGGTTGTTAGGAGACCATAAGGATGCCTCTGGAAAACGCAGGCTTGAGTTGGCCACAGCAGTGTCCCTGATGAAGGAGGTGAAAGATGATGATTTCCCCATTGCGGGGGTCCGAGCCTGCAAAGAGCTCCACGAAGCAGTCCTAGGTGGCCCTGGCAACTTTGTATCCTACCACTCAGAGTGGTTGAGGCTGTCCGGCGTTTCCCGGAGATCTAGTGCAGCTCATGCTCATGCCGCACTGTGTGAAGGACTCCGTCTTCTTCACCACTATGACCAGATCGACGCCAGTTCTGTGGCCATCGGAGAACATCTTTCCAGGTGGTTGATCCAGATTGAACTGGCTGTGGAGAGGAGCCCTTCAGCGCCAAATTTTGACGGCCTTGACATTCTTGCTGGAACCTCAACCCTCCAAGACGGCCGTGCATCGACCGCCCGATTCACAGAGTGGGTCAGCACGCGCATGAGGGAACGGGCAACCTTGTGGAAGCAAGAGAGGCTTTTTCAGCAAGAGCGCCGCCATCAACGAGGTCGCAATGTGGCCGCTGAGGATGATGATGATGATGACGATGAAGATGCAGGAAAGGGAGGACGAAAGGGCAAGAAAAAGAAGAAGACCAAAAAGCCGGACGGTACACCAGACAATCCGTCCGGCTCTGGCTCGAAGTGAGCTGTTCCAGGGGTCCTCAGCTGGCGGGGATGGGCATTCCACCTCCGGGGGCTCCCTCAATGCCGGCGTCTTTGCATGACTTCTCTTTGACGAGAACCTCAATTCATAGAAAGCATGGCGATCCTTTTCCCCTCCCAAGGTTGAGAGAGGGCCTCCGTGCTGAATCTGCAGAGACTTCACTGCATCGGCGAGCTGATGAAGCGTTCAAATGTTTGAACGAACTCGCTGCAGTGCCTTTTGATGAGACCGTGAGGACATCGACTGCTTCTTTGACAAAAGTGCAGGAGTGGATTGTAAAGGATGTCCTCAGGAGAATCTCCCAGCATGGACATGCTCCGGACCTTACGGAGCAAGCGGCTTTGGATGAGATTGTCTCCTCAGAGCACCTGTATGAGCAGGAGGCCAACCATCTGGTCGGCTTCGATATCTCTAGGATTAAGGTGTTGCAGAGGCAAGCTAGACCTTCCTTGACTGGACTTGGCCTCCCCCGAAGCAAAGGCTTACCTGTTGAACTATAGAGAGCTGATTGAAAGACCCGCCTTTGAGCTTGAAGCTGATGGTTTTCAAGAGTCTTTGCCGACTCCATACTGGGATCCACTGCTTCGTCGTAGTCGAAAGAAGAGGGTGGAGTTGTATCAAGCTCTTTTCAGGTGTTCTTTGCTTTCCTTCCGAAGGAGGGAGAAGGCCCGAGCGGCATTCTTCACTGTTCGCAAAAAGGACAACTACCATCAGCGGCTCATTATAGATGCGCGTCAGGCCAATGCTTTCCATCATAGGCCTCCAACTACGCGGCTGGCGACCCCGGCCGGAATGGTCTCTCTAGACTTTTCTCCAGAGACCTTGGAGGCCAATGGTTTTGGTGGGATAGCGGGCAATGGCGATGATGATGATGATTCGCGCATTCCGATTTCACCTCATGCCGAAACGGGAGACGTGGGCGATTGTTTCTACAACTTTCTCGTACCACAGTTGGCCAGCTGGTTTTCTTTGGGTGATTGGTTCACCGGGGCAGAGCTCTCTGCCTTGGGAATGAACCCAGGCACAATTTTTGATGACGACTCCCAGCGGGATTCGCCCTTGGAAGATTCAGAGTCAGTGGTGGCGTGTTTTTCTGGAATGGCAATGGGGTGGAGTTGGAGCCTGTTTTTGGCCAATGAGTCGGTGGTGCATCAGTCCTCTTTCCCTCGACAATGGGATCAAGATGATATCATCCGAGACAAAGCCCCTCCTCCTCTTGTCCAGCCAGGGCGTCCAGCTGTTGGCATCTATGTCGACAACATCCAAGTTCTGGCGGGCGGGGCGGGTGAGGCTTCAAGTCGGATGTTAGGGATAGCGAACAGGTTCTCACAGTTGGGGATTCCCTATGACATTGACGATGTGCATGACAAGGTCGAAGTTGAAAGCCTAGGCATGAAGTTTGACTTTGCTGGAAGGGTAGCTGCCATGCCCAAACCTCGTCGGACGTGGAGACTCTGGCTGGCGACCCGTTGTCTTTTGAAGAGACGCCGCGTCCATGGCAAAGTTCTACAGGTTTGGTTGGGCCATGTCACACATCATTTTGCTTTGACTAGGTGTTGTATGTCTAGCTTGTCGGCATGTTACAGGTTTGCGGAGGAGCACAAAGGTCACAGAGCTGTTGTTTGGCCGTCTGTCAAGAAGGAGCTGAGACATTGCTTGGGTCTTTTCTTTTTGGTCGAAATGGACCTCAGCGCGCCCACATCACCTGAGGTGCATGTCGGTGACTCAGCTGACTTGGGATACTCTTTGATGACCACTCAAGCCAGCCATGAAGAGATCAGGGCGGAACTCCGCTTCAAAGAAAGATGGCGTTTTATCACCAGTTCTGAACCTGTGCGTAGCTGTCCGCTTCCTCCACCCCAGGGTGAATGTCAAAGTTCGGCCTTCGTCACTGACCCCTTGCAGGAGTTCCACTACATGGGATCCCGCCGCAATGCAGGACTTGGCCGAAGCACTCAATTTGGCAGGTGGTTGGGTGAGCAAGTTAAGGATCCTCAATGGGAACAATGGTTGCGAGAAAGGCATGCCCGTTTTGAAGCAGCTCATAGACCACGCATTTCCTTGATACATGGTCCGGGGGTTCCGCCGGTCGCGTCCACATGGGACACGGCTGACAGATGGCGCCTCTTGGTCGCCAGACCTTGGGATCATCCCTCAGAGCATATAAACGCAAAAGAGCTGAGGGTTTGCGTGATGGGCTTGCGCCGCCTTTGTAGGAGCTCAAGCAACTGCGGAACGGTCGCCTTGTCACTCAGTGACAACCTTGTCAGCTGCCTGGCAGTGGATAAGGGCAGAAGCTCGTCAGGAGCTCTCAACGGCATCCTTCGTCGAGCTGCTGCCTACCAGATGGCTTGTCGGGTGCGCTGGCAGGTTCGTCACATACCGACCGACCGAAACATTGCTGACGGTCCGTCGAGATGGTTTCAGACCAAATCGAAGCTGAAGCATGAGGAGAGGAGCCGGCCGCCTCTGGATGGCCATGTGCTGGTGCCCGATTTTGAGGCAGGGAGATGTCCGTCTTTCTCTTCTACAGTTTCAGCAGAGAGATCTGAGCCCTCACGACGTGGCTTTATCCTTGAATTTTTCTCGGGCACTGCCAGACTCACTAGAGCTTTTGAGGAGAAGGGCCTCGCCACGCTGCCAGACATCGAAGTGGCCAAAGGACACCACTTCAATTTGCTGAGGAGAAAAATGCAGAAGTTCCTTTTGCAGTTCCTTTTGGAGGGAAAAGTGCTTTATGCTCATTTCGGCACACCATGTACTACTTTTTCTAGAGCTCGGCATAACATCAAGAATGTCATGAAAGCTAGGCAGAAGGAAGCTGATGCAGTATCTTTGGCAATTTTTACAGCAAGAGCGATTAGGATCCTCATTAGATGTGGTGGGTACTTCACCCTCGAGAACCCGTTGACCAGCACGCTCTGGGAGTTTCAGCCAATTCGAGACCTGTTCAGATCCAAGGATGTCTTTTTCATCTCTTGGCACATGTGTCAGTATGGGGCTTCTTGCAAGAAGCCAACTGGACTCCTGGGCAACATTCCCGGCCTTTCAGGCCTGGCGAAGAGCTGCGGGGGGTGGTCACCGCCACCAACACCTGCGAGGCTCGGAAAGGGTATGGGATGAGGGTGTTTGGAAGAGTCGCAACCGCACAAAAAGCGCAGGGGCTTATCCCCCTCAACTCTGTCAGCAGTGGGCCTCTCTGGTTCAAGATTCAATAGGTCATCTTTTTCAACTTCCCCATGCCGTGATTCGAGACCAGTCACGACATGTCGAGTGGAGCCTTCAAGAAGCGGCCGTTGCCACCCGACATCGTGTCAAGACTGGCAAAAACGGAGCTGGTGCGCGCCATTTCCACACCGAGAACTCAGAGTTCACTGAGGAGGGGAAGCAGCATCTCAAAAGACACCCGGTCGTCTTCGGCCAACATACCAAGTCAGAAGCTGAAGAGATCCGCAGGGCCAACCAAGGTCAAAAAGATGGCTGTTAGGGTTGACCTGGCGAACAAGCCTTTGCCGGTTCAGCTCCGTCTGAGAGCTCAACGGGTGACCCAGAAAACTTTGAATCGGTATCTTGCTGAGATAGAGTTGTTTAGACACTGGTTGAAGGAATGCAAAATGTCTTGGAGCTCCAAGAAGTTAGACTCTTACGCAACTAGGTATATCACTTTTTTGCAAGAGACTGAAAAACGTGAAGTTCACCAAGCGACTTATTTTGTTTACGGCCTTCAACTTCTTCACTGTGATGTTCCTCGGCAGTTTTTCCTCCCCAATGCCAAGTTAGCCCTGAGCGGGTGGAAACACCAGCAGCCTGGCTCCATGCGACTCCCGGTGCCAGAAGAGGTGGTTTTTGACATGGCCATCTATTTTCTTTCTTTGGCAGAGATCGAGATGGCGATGGCACTAGTCCTTCAGATGCATTGCTATCTTCGTCCCTCTGAATGCCTTGGTTTGACAAAAGAGCACGTTTGCTTTCCTGCTCCTGGCAGATACCGGAAGTGGGGCTTGCTGATCGCTCCTTCCACTCTGGGGCAGCAGACCAAAACTGGAAAATCAGACGACAGTGTGTTGATAGGTGATGTGAAGGGTACCGCTTGGGTTGCCGATGTGTTTGCTTTGTTCATGAAGGGCGTGGAACATTTTCTTTTTCCTTCACTGACTTTGGCCAGCTATGAGACAGCCTGCCACAGAGCATCTCGACATTTGAAGTACCAAGAGGGCGCCGTCACACCCCATGTCATGCGACACACTGGGCCATCCAACGATATTTTCCACAAACGGAGAGACATTCAGGCAGTGCAGAAGCGCGGGCGTTGGGAGGCAAAAGCTTCAGTGCGCCGCTACGAAAAAGCCAGCCTTTTGGTCAAACGC